TTTTACAGGTGGGAAAATTGAGGTTTTCAGAGACTTTCTATAGTGGGTTGAAGCGTCTCCGCCACCCATCAATATCCAGTTGGAAGTTCAGAATGAGATCTGTGATTCTACGTCTCCGACTCATTACTCCTGCAGCCCTTGTTATAGCCTTTTGCTATGTCAAAAACAGGCCTCAGGCAACAGAACCTCTCTCTTAAACCTTCTGTCCTCCCTTCTCCTCCCCAGGGTAGGACTCTAATCTGACGGTGGGTCCTGACCCTCTCATTCCACAGAGGGTCCTGTCCCATACGCTGGAGGAAGGAACATTGCACAGACAGCCCCCCAAGGATCTGGACAGGCCTTGCTGGGTTTCTCTACTCAGTCTACTAGTATTAGATCACACGCTTTATGTCCAAGCACATTTTGACACTGTTGTCCATGCTTAAATCATGTCTATGCAATGAAGTCTCCATAAAAGGGCCAAGAGGAGGCTGGGCGCAGTGGCTCACGCCTGTAATCCCAGCATGTGGGAGGCCGAAGCAGGTGGGTGGATTGCTTAAGCTCACAGGTTTGAGACCAGCCTGAGCTGGAGCAAGACCTCATCTCTAAAAATAGCTGGGTATTGTGGTGGACACCTGTAGTCTCAGCTACTTGGGAGGCTGAGGCAAGAGAAGCGCTAGAGCCCAAGAGTTTGAAGTTGCTGTGAGCTATGACACCACAGCCAACTACCAGGCAACAAAGCAAGACTCTGTCTCAAAAACATAAAATAAAATAAAGTAAAGTAAAATACCATTTGAACTACTGAGGAGAAACAAAACAAAATACCCTTTTTTGACAGAGTCTCACTTTGTCGCCCTCAGTAGAGTGCTATGGCATCACAGCTCACAGCAACCTCCAACTCCTGGGCTTAGGCAATTCTCTTGCCTCATCCTCCCGAGTAGCTGGGACTACAAGCACCCACCACAACAGTCACCAATTTTTTTGTTGCAGTTTGGCCAAGGCCCTGCTTGAACCCACCACCCTTGGTATATGGGGCTGGCACCCTACTCACTGAGCCACAGGCACCACCCACTGCTCAGGAGTCTGTAAGCCAAAGATCTCAGACTTTTGTCAAATGGCAAAGGGGACACACATGAAGTAGCACTAAGAAAAATAACAGGCTCGGCGCCTGTGGCTCAAGTGGCTAAGGCGTCAGCCACGTACACCTAAGGTGGGAAGTTCAAATCCAGCCTGGGGCCGCCAAACAACAATGATAGCTGCAACCAAAAAATAGCTGGGCATTGTGGCAGGTGCCTGTGGCCCCAGCTACTTGGGAGGCTGAGGCAGGAGACTCGCTTGAGCCCAGGAGTTGGAGGTTGCTGTGAGCTGTGATGCCATGGCACTTTACCCAGCTTGAGGCTCTGTCTCAAAAAAAGAAAAATAATAGTATCACCCTCAGTATATGGAACTGGCGCCCTACACTGAGCCACAGGCGCTACCCAACAAAATACCCTTTGTACAAACCAATAAACTGAGTTCCGCCAGCCCCTCTAGCAAATGGATTGAACCCAAAGAGGCGGGTAGTGGGAATGCTAACTTGAAGCCAGCTATTGCCAGGTTGATAGCCCCAAAAGTGAACCAAATTAAACTGAATTGGAGGACACCAATCGACCTCTGCAGAATTGACTGTTTTCCTGGCCTTGTGAGGAAAAACCCTCCCATATTTGCTCACAGACGTCTCCGTGTTGATTGTTGTGTTGGAGAGCAGAGGAAAAACACAGTTTGAGTTCTTTTCCCCTCACACGAACTTATTTGGGAACAGAGTCTTTACAGAAGTAATTATGACATTATAGTTAAGATGAGGTCAGATTGAAGGACACGTAAACAGAGGCCTACAGATGTGTAAGGTGGCCATATGACGACACAGGAGAGACGGGAGTTTTGCAGATGCAGCTGAGAACACCAGAGGACATGAGAAGCTGTGAGATGAGACCGAGACCACAGACCGCAGAAAGGGTCTTCCCCCAGAGCCTTCAGAGAGGGCATGGCTCTACACCAGACCTTGATTTTAGACTCTGAGCCTCCAGAGCCCAGAGAGAACACACTTCTGTTGGTTTAAGTCACTGTGTTGGTGGGGATTTGTTACAGCAGCTCCTTACCCTGTCTGTGGCACCAAACACTGGCAACTCAGGGGATTGAATCCAGGTTTTTTTTTTTTTTTTTTGAGACGGAGCCTCAAGCTGTCCCCCTGGGTAGAGTGCCATGACATCCCACTCACAGCAATCTCCAACTCCTGGG